CCTCCAGTCGACACCCCAACTTCGACTCTGAAAGGTAGATCTTTTTACATTCCCCGAAACATCCCAACCTCCTTCGCGCGCCTCCCTGCCTCCCTAATCCCAATCGACCGCTCCGGCCTTGCCCCACCCACGTCCCACCACCCCTCTGGCAGCCGCTCCTCACCAAACCACTGCTCGAGCGCCGCGATCGGTATCACGCCCTCGGAAGTTTCTTTCCCCGGATTTTTCGAACGCGGTTCACCGCGCATCACGCACCATGCGAGCCCACACTCACCCAGCGCCACCTGCTCGTGGAGCCTGTTTAGCTCGCGGCCAGGAGGCAAAGCGGCTTGGCGCGCGGCGTGGAGACGTCCGAGGTCGGCGAGGGTGAGGCCGTCGGGCTCATGATCCGTGGAAGTGGCGGCAGAGGATGCGTGGTGCGCGAGTGAGAGGAGTTCCGCGAGGAGCTCAGGGTCAGGGGAAGATGATGCTGGTGATGAGGAGTCGGCGTGCACGAGCGAGGCGTCGTGTGTGATTTTGAGAGCCCCCCGTGTGCAGAGAGATGAGAGGTCTAGTGTCCATGTTAGCACTGGGATGCAGCTTTTTACGTCCCCATGCCATAGTGCCGTGGAGATTGAGGGTGTGGACGGGTAACTTCGGTTGGCATCCGAATCCTCCGACTCAGCGTGGGTTGTGGGTGGGGGTAGAGGCGCGGCGAAAGAGAAGTGCCCGCTGGTGAGGTACCCAAATGTGGTGAGGAGAAGCGCGAGTGGGAGGGAGAGGTTGTAGACGTGCCTCACGGCGCTGAGGAGCGTTAAGAAGGGGATTTTTTCGCCGTTTCGTGGACTGTGCAACGCAACAGAAAGCACGTGAGTAAAGCTTACTTTGGACACCGACTCAAGAAACGGGTACTTACATGTATCCATGGTTCGCGAGCGCGTTCAGTGCTGGGCACGGCGAGCGGCTGGCGCCAGTGCCCGGTGGGATGAAAGCAAAGGGCGCGGAAAGGGGCTCAGAGAAAGTTGCAGTGCTTTGGTGGATCATGATGATAATTGGGGCATTGGTTGGCTTGCGTCCCTCGCGAGTGCGCGCCTTTTATGCATTTCGGTCCTCGAGGCGATACCATCAGTGGAGCAGCGACAGAGGAGTAGCGTCACGGTGGAGCTGATTAGGAGGTGTGGGGGAACCCCGGGGAGTACCTCGTTTTTAGGGGTTTCAACTTGTTGGAGTGATGAAAAAGGGGTTTATGTAAATGAATGAAAGAGCCGGAATTGCTTGATGATTTCTTGGAGAGGTAAAAGAGTGAGCTGCGGCCACGAGAGATGTCGTTGTGCTATGTGGCGCAGTGATTTCGACTCGAGAAATAGTCATGAGTCTTCGCACTGCTCTCTAGATTGATCGTGAACTTCGCCCAGAGAGATTTACGCCCACGTTCAGGGTAGAACATTAGGAATGCCCTAAAAATTACTCAACGTCCGCACTTCACAATGAACGTCTCAATTTCTTGAATACGTCACGCTGGCTGCTGAGTCATTCAGCACAGATATACCCGCTATGGGTGCTCATCGACGTTGACATTCTTCAGTCCGGTTTCGTCTGGGTTGGAGGGCTCATCGAAATTTTGAAGATATGAAGTTGACAATACATACTATGGACTCATAAGACGAGGTGATAGTGATATCCTGGAATTCATGATGGTACATAACAGTCACGGAAGGGAACGAAAGCGGATCCTTGGTCAAGCAGGGTGTCCACTCGATCTGTGATGGAGGGTTCAGAGCCCTCGAATTCTCGAAGTCTCTTCAGGACCGGGATAACGCCAGGGAGCTGGTGGTAATTTGGTCAGAAGACAGATGAACGGTTGCGATCAATTGCTCACTTTCTTGGGGACGAATATCTTGTCGGATGCAATCACGCTGGCGTATATCACCTCAGCCTTCTCAATTTTCTCGACTTCCTCATGGATCCGAGTGAGCGTCAACTGCAGCTAGTACGTTAGCCAGCACTTGGCACGGAGAGCAAGAGATTGCACGTACACGTCGCTTTGCGATGGGATCCTCTTCTTCCTTGGCGGCTTCGGGGTAGTGAAGAGGCATCTTTATCGGCGCACCTCTCATGAGTCGATCCAACTGTAACGCCGCCCGGACAATGTCGAGGCCTATGAAACGTCATCACAGCACCAGATCAACGTGCGGAATGACGCACCACTCCGTACAAGATCCATTTCCATGCACATAATATCCGACAGCACGTCTCCCATTCCTGGCGGTTCGACTTTCAGGCATATAACCAGAGATGCGGAAAGCGCTGAGATGATGATTTCGTGGGTAGTTTCAAAAGCCTGGGGAGAGGCATCGCTGGAGTTGTACCGCAAACTCATGGCAGACAGGAACAAAGAATAACCGAAGATTAGCAGGGAGTCCTCCTGCAAGGGCTCGAAGTACGAGGCGTGCTTCTCCGCTGGGCGGTGAAGCCTGAGGCCAAACACTCGCAGGCGTTCCATTTGCTTCACAAACGGCGGGAGCACCCTGGAAAGGCATCAGGACATCTGTAAGATGACATTTCGATGAAACGCACGTATGCAAGCCCTCCTCTGGCTTGGATTGAAATGCCCTCCTCGCCAACTCCAGAGTAATCGTTCGGAAGTTGAACGACACCCTACAGAGTGTGGACAGAACGTTCATCTCCCATTCCACGTCATCGGGAGAAACGCATATCGTATGAATACTTGTGGCAACTACACGAAGGACGATGTCATGAAGCAGCTCATTGGGGAACGCCGTGCGATGCGATACCATGGGCATGGTTGGAATAGATCGTCAGATGGGGACTAATGCGCTAATGGTCGTGGTTAATGAGCATAGTGGTGTTTGGCGCCAGAGACCGGTATTTGCTGGAACCGCAAGCGCTCAAGGCAGTGGATTCTGGAAGGTGGAAATATAGAAGCAGCTGAGGCGTCAATTTGATAAGCAAGGCCAAATAACGCGGCGCTTATTTGCTCCAAGCATGGGGGCATTACGGTTATGGAAACGCTATTGGATTCACCGCTTTATGAAGGAGAAGCACACACCACCTCAAAGAGGGCACAATCGATTCTGGCTCCAGAATCCAGATAGCAGCGACTCAGACGCGCGTTTTAATAAATAGTTTCAGTACTCCTCCATGCTAGCATGGCAATTTGGCAAACAAGCGCACCTTGAGCCACCTTTGACTAAACCTCAATTCCTTTCAAGCCGTTCCTCGCTCTGAGACCTTTTGCCACCCATTCTTCTGCGACCCCTCCATCCGTGTCGGCCGCCGAAGACTAGCGCCGCATTTGACGCCAGAGCGAAAATATCTTGTTAATGATTTTCTCCCGGTTCCTCAGTCTGAAGAACTTTGACGCTCTGCCCTGGCGTCTCTGCTCCGTTCGGAGCTGGAGGACGGACGCGCCTGTTTACGCGTTGTTTACGCGTGTGGATACCGTCATCAGTTACCAAATATAGCAGCATAATTTTCAAAAAAAGTAGTTCCTCTCCTTCCACCACCACCATGTTCTCCAACGCCCTTCGGACACAAGCTAGGCTCGCATTGACTTCATGTAGAGCCCGAGTTTCTGCTCTCTCTGCAGCTCACCTTGTAGCCCGCGTTGCCGCCGCCCCGGCACTGCCCACACCCACGGCACGCTTATTGTCGATATCGTCACCGGTATGGAATTTCGACAGTGTTGACAGGCCTCCTCGTCCGGCAAGCCAGCCATCAAAGAATCTCTTTGTCGGCAACTTGCCTTTCAGCGTTCAAGATTCTGAACTGCGGGAAGCGTTTGAGCCATTTGGTCAAATTGCGTCTATCCGAGTTGGTGGGTGTCCAGTTCATCTCTGTTATTTCTCAAAGTGTGCTAACAATGTCCTCGTTTAGCTTACAGGCCAGATGGCACAGCCCGTGGCTTTGCGCATGTGGAGTTCGTCAACGAAGCTGACGCCGTGGCAGCAGTTCAGTCTGCGAAGGATGAGCCCCTCTACCTTCTCGACCGTGACCTCCGTGTCGACTTCGCACAAGGAAAGAGGGCCCCTCAAGCAAGGGAGCCCACACATAGCCTTTACTTCCACGGCTTCCGGGCTGGCGAAGAGGCCCTCCGTCAAGCCACGCGCTCCTTCGAGAGCAGCATCATCAACGTCTACTTCAGTACGTGCTCTTCGCAATCTCCACTTTACCAGTGTTTCCTTACCCATATGTTATTACAGTCAAAGACCGTGAGAGCGGACTGGAGACTGGTTCTGGCTTCATCCACTTCATGAGTGTCGAGCGTGCCACGGAGGCTCTGAACGAGCTCCACGGAGCCAGCGTTGGTGATGAGGTCCTCTTCCTTCGGTATGCCTACCCCAAGAACGAAGATGGCGACCGTAGGGGCGGACGTGATGGTGGCGACAGGCGCGGAGGTCGCGACGGTTTCAATGGAGGTGGTCGAGGTGGAGGTCGCGGGGGATATGGAGGTGGAGGAAGGGGTGGCAGCTATGGAGGTGGCGGCTACGGGGGTGGGGGACGGGGTGGCGGCTATGAGGGACGTGGTGGCTATGAAGGTGGCCGCGGCGGCGCTCGTGGTGGGGAGG